TTTTTTTCGATTTTTAAAAACAAGACATATATTAACTGTCCATCCTGATATACATTTCTTTAGCAAGGTTAATAATTATTTAATATTATGTTGATACTAGTTGAGTTAGTGCACCTGAGCACTTTTACTCTCTATTCACTGCAAGGTTTCTTCAAAACCCCTCTTTGCGCCTTAACTAAATTATTGTTTATCACTTCAATTAAATTACAATTATTTATGGATGTTATTTTATAATTTTTTATGTGGTTTTATTTTTCAACATATTGTAAAATTACTTTATATATTGTATAATTAATTTTTAAAGCAATTTTGAAGAGTTTTTAGTGAACTTTTTTTATTCGTGTTGTTATTTGATCTATTTATATATAGTGGATTGTTTCAATTCACGCAAATTAAAGTTTTTGTTAGTGTAATATTAGTTTGATTACAAAAATTTTGGATTTATTTGTGGTGCAGATATAGTCTAGTGGTAACGGAAAATATAAAAATATATTTAAATTTATCAAGCATTTTAGGCGTTAAATTTTAATTAAATAGAAACAAAAAATAGAATTCATGAAAAACTTAAGTTCTTTGCAAGTATTTTTCGTAGTTTAGTGCTTTATATTTAGCAAATAAATTTCAAATGTGTTCCTACTAATTCTAGACTGAAGATTGACATTTATATACAACATCGTCAAGTTGTAATGCTCATCTTAAAATAAATTGCAGAAATAATGGATGTTTAGATAATTTATATCTATATTTATTTTATATATTTATATAGATATTTTATATGCATAAAACTTGATAAAATATAAATTCTATTGTAATACAATATACAATAATGAACGTCTAATAAAATCTTGATGTACGTCTCAACTGTCGGCAAAAAAAAATCTGCCTTTGTAATAAGAAAACCGAGTGTTCGCTATTTCAGTTAATATTGTGTATATTAAGTGTCAAATTTGTCAATAAACAAATTATTTTATTTAATATATTTTATATATATTAGTGTTTCCATTCTCTTGTTTTCAATCACACGATGCGTTTAAAAATGGTGTCACTCGTTTTACTTATTACGTATTTAATTATTATTTTCTTTTTCCATCGAATGGTGCTATATTCTTACCTACTCATTTAATTTCTTTAATTTTAGCTGTCATGTTGTCTAACATTGATCAACGGGTATCTAGACTAATAATAAATAATATTTGTTAATAAATAAACAACGTATAGAACTGACTTCGATATCAAACCACCATTCTAAAACTAAATTTAGTTAATTAAATCTGAAAGGTGGTATACTTTTTGATCAGGATTTGGAGTTCTCATTACTTGAATTTAAAGAAAAGTCAATATAATCTACCAGACACTGTAAACGTACTAGTTTCTTATTTACGTAAAATTTACGTAAAAGGATAATACTATGGGAAGATGCGGTACCGTTTTCCATTTTTAAAATAGTAAAAAATTGAAAACACACAAGTAAATGAAAGCACAGCGTAGATTTCACAATTCTCAATCAATGGGAATTGAAATTTGAAGGGAAAGTGAATGAAATAAGTCATAATCAATAATCCCTGTGTGAAATTCGTCTATATCGTCTATTCGTCTATATTGCACGATCATTTCGCGGTGAGAAAGGTTTGTTCCGTTGGATCATCATTTGACAAAATCTCAAAAAGATGCTCGTGTCGATTGGTGCACACAAATGTTCAAATATTGCGGTGCTACAAAAAATGTATATACTCGTAATATTGTAACAGGTGACGAATCATTAATATACTCGTACGTATGAGCCGGATCGTAAACAGTAGATGACTGTATGAGTGTTTCAAGATGAATCAAATCCAACAAAAGTTGTTCGCACTCGAATAGTATAGTTGTCATGTGGCAACTATACCATGGTTAATTCCGAATGGTATAGAACCATTTATTTACCGGAAGTCTTCACTGAATCCTTCGAAAAACAATAAAGCAATTTTCAACTATGAGTTTATATTTTTTCATTATTAGGCTCAAAATATAAATACTGACCCTAGTATTCTCACCACTAGTATGTTTATTTCTTATTTTAAACTAACTTTGTCTTTGGTTACATTTATTCATACTTGTGTATTAAATTACTTAATAATGAATGTATATACTTAATAATAATATTTAGGTAGACATATATATAACTTGATAGGAGACAATAGGAACTAACATAAATCAAGCAATTTTTTTAAATCGCTTGACTTATTGTTAGCAAGTTAAGTAAACTAGAATTAAATAACCAGTAATTGATTTATTCACATGAATATCATTATAATGCAATTATTTAAATACAATTAGTCTTAGCTGATATTTTATCCTTTTTTTTGCCTTTTTTAATCTTTATCTTTAGGAATGTATTTAATTTACTATATATAGATTTAGTAAATTACACATATAAGACATATAACGTACAACGTGCAACAGACAACAGACAGACTCTAGATTGTGCAAGTACGTGCACTTCAAAGATTGGTATTGCAGCACCAAAATAAAAAGAAAAATTGATTGAATTTTGTCAGCCCCACACTTCAGCTCTTTAATGAAGTTATTGCAAAGTCGGGCGGTTCAGACAGTTCATTAAAAATGCATTAAAAAAAACGCCAGTGAAACAAAACAAGTTTGTCCACTCAAATTGTTTCAGCTGTAAAATATGTGCATATTTTAATCACATATAGGCCTCAAATTAATTTTCACTCTTGAGATAAATACATTTTCGGGATCATATACGCGATGAAAATTAAGATTCTAATCATTTGGTATATGCAAGTAGTCAAATAAATTTTGAAATGTAGGCGATATTTATTCAGATAATAATTATAAAAAATAAATTAAAATAAAATAGACCCTCACAGTTTATTATATCACCACATATGCTGTTTATAAACATAAATAATAGTAATAAAAATATCTAGTTTTGGCGTTGATGAATTATACCTAAGATATAATGTGCTATGCTTGACAATAGTTTCCTAATCTAATGCAGACAAATTCAGGGTATTGGCCAACTTAATTACATGGTATATATCTTGATTTAAAAATCAGACTTTATATAACATCAATTTCCGGCAATCAAAGATCGCAATCAGTTTAGTAAGGCGAACGTGTGCCTTTCCAAAAATTCTCTATACCAACTTTCATTAAGATTAGAGGCAAAAGTACACTGTAAATCATGATATCAAATATCTCTGAAGAAAGTCTGCTAAACTAACTCAAACAAATTAGGGCTTTTCATTAACCTTTTAATATATTTTGATTCAAAATTCCAGATTTGTTACGACCTGATTCCTACCAATCATACAATACGATTAGATAACTTAGATGAATGTTTAACTTTACCATTTTCAAAAACTGCAAGTCTTAGAGCCTATTAATCCCATCTCTGAAAACCGGAATTAAGAGAATCGAATTTGGCTAATAAATCAGTAATTCAATATGTTCATATTTATTAGAACTGAAACAGTTTTTTACATAATTGTTGTTAATGCATATGAGCTGTTTGCACTTCCTTTGGAGTTAACCCAATTTTTTGCAAATAGTTTATATTCGTAATTTTTAAATACTAACGAATGCTTACAAGTAAATGTCCCACAAAAAGGTTCAGCTTCTATGAAGACAGTAAGGGGATTCTCCTTGATAGATGTACCAAATACGTTATATTTGTTATATATATATATTTAACAAAAAATTAAAACCTATGATGTGAAAAGTTTAATAAAAAAAAATAATGTTTTTACTTCGAAACTAGTAAAAATTAATGTTAGTAAAACAAGCTGAAGGATAGATAGATTAAGGAGTGATTAATATTGGAGATATAGAAAATGAAATGTTCTAAGCGAAATTTAGTCATAGTATTTCTTTTAGGAAATAATAGATGTTTTCGAAGACGTTTTTACCGAAATAGCCAGAGCCAGAAGTCTGAATAAAGTATTCATTATTTAATTTTTCATTTGTTACATAGAAAATTAATAATTTCCACTATTTTAAACTGAAAGTATATCAAGTTAAATTTTATCGTTATACCACTAAATGTATTTTTAATTTTAAGAGATAAGTTTATATATTCAATGTTTACATTGCTGAAGATATCCTGATATTTTTGTTAATAGTTCTTAATGAGTTTTTAAGAACTATTGCTATTTCAATTTTTTAATTATTTTATTTTAATAGTATTTAGAACCGCGTTTCCATATCCATTCATAATAATATGTATTTCCATAATAATTATACATTACTTTTGTCAAAATACTTTTATAACGAATGAAAGAGGCACTAGTGATCTATTTTTTGAATTTCAATAAAATTTTTAATTATTTATATAAAAATTTTAAAAATATTGTTTTTTTTTATATTATTACTGTAATACTTCTTTTTTTTATTTACAGAGAAATGTTAAAGATTGAAGTACTACGATTGAAGTTCTAAATATCTACGTAATTTATAAAAAATATTAAGCAAAATTACAATTAAAATCATCGCATAATATTAATACTATATTAAAAAAAGGTTTTTTTTGGAAATTAAATATTCAAAAGTTTCCTGAAAATTTTAAGCCAATACATTTAGCAGTAAATATATATATTAAATAATTCTATAAGAAGTGCTTTTTAATTAATCAACAAAAGTGTATTTTCAGACTAATAGAAAACATTTTAATAATTTCAAAACTAAAAAAATTTATTAAAGATTTAGTTTTAGGAACTCAATAAAATTATAATAATAATAACTATAATGCAATAAAACTATAATAAAAAAATTTTGTTTTTCTTAAATAAAAAAAGTGTTACAAAGCAAAGAATTTGTTTAACATTTTATTATTAAATACGGTTTTAATATATATAGTATTAATTTCTAAAATAAAATTATTTCAATTTACTTAATATGTATTGATCAACGGGTACAACTTAGCAAAAAAACCAAAATAAAAATATTTAAAAAATTCTAATACAATATTAATTTAATTAATATTAATAAATATTAAAAATTTTTTTTAGTAATTATAACTTAAATATAACTAAAATTCTTTAACTTGCTTGACTTAAATACTTGCGGTGTTTATATTTGAATGGTTTCTGAGGATAATTGGACCACTGATACTATGTCCGATACGGACATGCTTGACTCAAAAGCCGATGCTTGCGGTGGAGCTTCCAGCTCAAATTCACCTCGCACTCCACCGAATTGTGCTCGTTGCCGTAATCACGGTCTAAAAATAATACTTAAAGGACACAAACGTTATTGTAAATTTCGTTTTTGCACTTGTGAAAAATGTAGACTAACAGTTGAACGTCAAATAAACATGGCACAGAAAACAGCAGAGCGTAGAGCTCAGCAACAAGATGAGTCCCGACAATTGCACATTAATGAAGTACCTCCTGTAGTACATCCATGGCCTACATCATCTTTTCATCATCAGCATCATTTGCATCAGCATCTTCACTTAAACCAAAATCATCATGCTGCTGTTGCAGCAGCGGCTACAATGAGATCACGTGCTTCAATAACAGCATTACGCTCCCCACCACCACCTTTACCAACAGCCCATGTAGAGCATCTCTTGCCTTCAAATGAAATACGTTGTGGTGGTGGCAGCAATGGTGGTGGTGGTAGCAGTGGCATTGCTGCAGTCAATGGCAGTTCATCTGATCATCAAATGTCTTCTGCATCAACCCCACCACAATCTTTGGAAGGTTCCTGTGATTCAGTTTCTCCTTCACCATCGTCAACGATGCCCTCTAATGCCAATGGATCAAATTTTCCACGTAAGTTATATTATTACAAAAAAAAATAATTAAAAAAATGCATATATATATATATTTATAATTCAAAAATTCATATTTCAAGATTTTTAAAATTAAACTATAATACAATCTTAGGAAATATGTCATATTCTTACACATGATTGCACACATGTAATATGATCTATTCTTAGTGAGTGTAATTCAGTTATAACTTTTGTGCAATAATTAAACATTATTGCATAGCAACGTTTTATATCCATAAAGTGAACTATTTTGGACTTTGGATTTAATAGATAATTGAAGTATGAGGATATTAAGTTTCATTATTTTTTTTCAGTTTTTTTAATTTATTCCAGTCAATTTAGCAGATTTGCACGAACTGCATTTTCTATATAAGCCTATTGTATTATACTCGTAAAATAAAACAGAAAAATCTGTACTTTATGATTTGAAAAGCGTGTGTAACAGATGTCACCATAATTTTTTGTGTAAACTGATAACACTTTACTGTGTAACCATGTGACAGTTTTTAAAAATACTACCTATTACTTAGTGTGCTTTCATCAGCTGGTTTTATGATTATACTTTTAAAAACTTTGCCAATCCACAAAGATTTGGTAGTGCAAAAATTTAAGGTTTTAATATCTTACGAATATGATCTACTAACACCGTACTCATCTGGCATTACCCTGTCATGTGTCATGTGTATCTGTCATCGAAGCTACCATTACATCTTCGAAAAAGAGGTTTGGAGTAATGCTGTTCGTATTCGAATTTACGAAGTATTCGAGGAATTCGAATATTCGAATAATAAACGATGTCTTCGAAGTTGGTATTTTTTTCCAACTTCGAAGACTTCATTGAAATACGAATATTCGAATAATCGAAGAACTTCGGTTTTTAAAAAAATTCAAATAATGTGAACGCACTAGTTTCGAGACGATTGCGGCCATAAAAGCAATTTCGTTGAAGAAGTTTAGTGTACCAATAATGAATTAATTTTCGGTTAAGCATTGGCATATTTGTGTTCCATTCAATGAGATATTATATCAAACACCCTCGTTCTCTTCAGTTGCAAGTTTCTGAGTTTCAAAAATGCGTAAATTTCGTCATTGGTACTACAACTAATACCATTTGTGATTTGGAGGCTCTTTTCATTTTTTTGCGACTGATGGAGTTTTAAGTTTTATGTACAGTGAGTGCTTCCAACGTACTAAGATCCTTTAAGCACATCTGTAAGTACTTTATTTGACATCATTGTATAACATTTTTGTTTTTGATTGCCTGACTAGTGATAGCGTCGTAGCATCATATGGATTTTAGAAGTTGATTTTAAACGTGTAGTTTATACTGGGATACCTATATATGATTGCTGACTCATAAGCTCGTATACATTTTGGTATTTGATACCCAACTGCTTTCTTTTGATTTCGCAGTGTTCCTTACATAGTAATTATGTGTCAACCGTTATTGCGATCTATTTTGCGTTATTAAAGAATGATACAACCAAGTCGTCTATGTAAAATAAGCAACGCGATATTTATTTTTTGGTCGAATTTACGTAGATTTACCAATGTTAAGTTATAGATGCCTTATCAAATGTAAAATATTATTGATGTTTTCTTTTGAGCTTTTCCGCTTCAGTTTTTTTTTTTATCAAACTCAAACTCTCTTTACATAGTTATATTATATAGCATCTCAGGTGTAGAACTTTTCGAACAGTATACTTTGTTATGTGTTTGTATTCATGTATTAGCTTAAAACATCAAGCTATCTATATCTTAGAGAGTATAGAAGATCCCTAAAATAGTTACATTAAAATAAAATTATAAATCTTACTTTGTTTTGATAAGTGGAAATACTACAGTTAAACGTATTGACGAATTCTTGTTCCTACACTCAACGGCATCACTAAACCTTTAGCACTCCAAGTTTGTCAGTTCAGTATTGATAGTGAAGTAATTTAGTTTTCGAATAAATTTTATAAATGTGTCCAAATATGTTCTAATAAGCATTTTCTACATATTTTATATTACACATTTAATTGCATTGAATAAATTAATTAATAACAGTTTAACATAATTAAATGCGTTAGCGTTTGTTTATGAAGTGCTTGTAATACTTTTTTATTTAGAAAATTTGCAACGATTTCCATAAACACATATTTTTTATTACTTGAAAAATTGAAATAAATTGAGGCATAAATAATTTTACAGATATTAAGTTTTGCTGCACATGTTTGATGATACGCTTAAAATATATTCAGTATTACTAGGTAATTTTAATTTCCAATATGTGAAAAGTCGCTGCTACAGGTTATTCAGGAAGTATCTTCGCAAGCCTCAATCTAGCAGTTGAGCTATCAATCAGAATGAAGCAAGTGTGTTAGCTGCAGCACTAAGAAAGTTGAAGTATATAATATCAAATTTAAGATGATATCAGCTAAATGTTATCTACTAAGATTTTCAATAATTAGTAAAACAGAAGGTGTACAATATTAATATTACGTGGCTAAAATAAATAATGCAATAAAATTGCAAGAATAGAAACTGGACTGATGGCATTTTAAACCAAACAATAATAGAACAATGTCTGTTTAAAAGTATACATGTAATTAAATAATATATAGTATAATCGTATACCGCAACATTAGAGACATTCAGTCTATCCATTGTAAACCAAAGGCTGCAGATTTGATGTTTGTTGTAAGTTGTATGCGTTTCCATAATTAAGAGTTAAATAAAAACTAAAAAAGCGTTAACTAAAATAAAAATAATCATAAATTGTAAGCTTTGCAAGTTATTTGATCTAGCATAAATCTAATGGACGATCGAATATAATAATAGGTACAGCCTACATCGTACCCATTTTTTACAATTAAAAATTCATTCAAGTCAGATCAGACCTTATATGAATATTTATATGATTTTGTGTCTTTTTGGTTTAAATTAGAATAGTAAATTTTCAAAACTATTGAAACGTAAAATAAATAAAGTAATTACTTTTATTTTACATACTATACGAACAAATAATATCCGTATACAAATATGTCACTAAAAATTCTAATACGTATAAAATAATTAAATATTATGTAGAATCTATTTGAACAAGTGCACTTGAGCATTTTTACTCTATTAACTACGAGGTATTTTCAAAACCTCTCTTTACGCCTTGACTGGATAATTGTTGATCAGTTCATCAGACTAAGCAATAATTGACCTCAAATCTGCATGTCTCTCCGAGGTGATTGAAACCATTTTGAGATTCGATACGCGGTGTTGATAAGTCTGTCAGTTTTCGTAAATAATTTCAGGGTTCTATCCTTTATGTAATTAAAGATACACTTAAACTATTTTACAACTGGAGGTAATAATTTATATATTGTACTATTGACGACGAAAGTATAAAAAGTTGTGACAAAGACAACGATTTTTAATAGACTACACTTCAATTCAATAACATATCAATTTCCAATTATTAACAATAATCTACTATTAAATAAAAAGCATATTTATGTTGATCCACGTCTTCTATTATTTCTGACATTATATTGGGAAAAGTTGTGTGTTGTGAAGTTTAAAAGTAATAGTATGATTGGTTTATATTTGGCTGGAAAAACACAAGTAGCTATCGTTCGAGCCCTATAACACCTAAATGTGAACAAATCCTAGCTCGATACCGTGATACTGGTAGCGTTGGCCCACACCCAGGAAGTGGACCAAAAAAACAGTAACAACACCACAAATGATTCGTAAAGTGAAGAAGCGAATTGAGCGAAAGCCATGTCATAGCTAAAATCGAATAGCAAGAAGTTGAACGTATCACGAAAAAAATTGCAACACATTCTGAAAAAAAGAGCCATTATTGGTTTCGTTTGGTGGATTGCCGAATTTGATTTTTTCTGATGAGTCACCATTCGTAATTGAGCATTACGTAAACAAGCCCAACGATCGAGTTTACTTGTTAGAAAGGTCACCTGAAAATTTATACATACATACTAGATACCAAAATGGTTCGCGTTCATTGACCGTGGGGTAAAACTAACTTCAAAATCTGTCCAAAAATTATTTTAGAAGGAGCACTAAAGCCCTGAGCAGATGAATGTTTCATTTGCAGACATTGGATATTCTAACAAGACTCAGCACTATCGCACAAAGCCCGCTTCAACCAAGAATGAATAAAGAACAACATTCCGTGCTTTATTTTATCAACACAGTAGCCACCGTGTTCACCTGATATAATGCCTATAGATTTCTTGATCAGGTGAATTTTGAACAGAAAGGTTGGCACTAAGAAATACCAAAATGTCGATCGTCTGAAGCAAGCGCTAAGCCGAGAGTGGGCCAAAATATCGCAAAGCCTATTGCGAGTAGCGTACGATAGCTTCATTGGCCGTTTGAAGACTATAATTAATATTAGAGGTGGCCATATTGAACCAAAATAAATTAACTTAAAAACTTGAAATTTTTTTCGCATATTTTTTTTTTATCTTTTATTAAACAAAAATAAACGAAATAGAGAGTACACACTTTGTTGCTATTTTCGTCACCCATTTTATATAGAAAAATTTTGAAAAAAGTCTATTTATTTTTAAATATTTTATTTTATTTTAAAAGAAAATAAAAGGAATACAAATGATATATTATCGCACATTTAGGTATATTAAATCTATGTACAATTAAAATGATATCAAACATTGCATATTATGTTACTACTGTATTACTCTATACACTAGAAGTATTTTTATATATTTTTGACTATAGTTTATATCATCTTAACTAAATAGTAATAAATATTTTCAAAACTATAAATAAAAGAGTGTCAGAACAGAGGATATTACTATTTCATGATGACCTAAGATATAAATTCTTAGGTATTAAATATAAATATTATTCTGAAAGTTCAGATTTCAATATTCCATGTCAAGCCAAAAATATTGTACATATTGATGATGTATGACGATATAGATACATAATTTTTTTTTATTCGATCCTGCATGATAATTGTAATCGAGTTTAGTA